ACAACGTTGTAAACAATGGTTGCAACGGCCGCAGCGAGCTACGTATATGAGCAGAAAAAAACAATTATTCAAACCTATTTCATGATCATTTTTTAACATTTGGACTTCTTACACATAGCGAAACTCGGAAAGAAAAACACGGAGGGTACAAACACTAATCTGGAGATTTTTTTAATTTTCAACAATGGAAGATCGCAAATGAAAATGGTGTCGTCATACAGCCTTCAATGTCTTATTTATTCAAATCCCGACTATATAATAAAACAATTATGGACTCTTTGGTGTTGAATATGGTTTGTTATTCACCAGAAAAACATCCATATTGACCTCGGCTTCGCCTCGTTCAATTTGAATATTTTTCTGGTGAATAACAAACCATATTCGACACCAAAAGAGTCCATAATTGTATATTATTTGTCCATTTTTATAAGAAAACGTTAACAACTCCTAGGTAAAATTTGATATATGATTTCAACAAGAACAAGAATAAATTCTGTTTGGCACTGTTTATTAATAAAAAATTTTTTTGAGTAAACACCACTGTCTGACGAATGACATGGTTATTTATAAGTCTCCATTGATAAAGATCTTTTTACACTAAAAAATATAATGAAACAGCTACCCTCGGAGGGACTGGGGTATATATGCACACAAGAAATGTAAATACATATGTACATCAGAGATATGAATGATTTTCTTTGTGACATGATCGCGCTCTGAGTTACGTGAGAGTAAACTTTATACGCTCTTTGCTGGCACCTTGTCGTTCTATATATTGTAAGCAAAAATTCCAATTATGGTACTAAAAATAAACATTTTTGGACTTGCAAGGCTTAAGGTCATACAATCTTGTCTTTTGTCCAGATATTTAAGGAGGTAGGTGGTCAATAAATTATCTTTTTTATTACCACCAGATATAACTTAAATTTTGGGATATGATATCTTGAGCTGTCAACTATCATTTGGCAAAGAAAAATTTTATAAATTTAAATTTTAAAAGTTGATCATTTTATTATATCTTTAAATGGAGTTCTTCCTCTAAAGGAGATCAAAATAGTCTAAAAATGGCCACGACCACCCAGCCTTTTTAAAGGAAAAATCTTCCTGTATATCCTCAAAGAATATTTTAACTTTACACTCCAAAATCATTTAAGTACAATTATAAGTTTTGATATGATATAAAAGGGACAGAAGTGTATAGAATGTTTTTGCTGCATTACCCTTCATATGCCCTTAATAAATGAGATGTCCTACCGGAGTATGATATGGATAAAAATATTCATCGTTTTCAGGCAGAGTAAATGGAAAGAAATGGAAATAGGAAAGATATCGTTAGTAGATTTCTGATATACATCATAATTTTTTTTTCAAATATAGTGGTAAGTCAACTAAGACGCATATATTATAAGTGCATTAATAACAAAACCCTAAACATTTTTTTTCTTTTATTAACTCTTTTTCCGATAAGCTTCAAATACATCACATTTCTAAGCACTTCATATAATATTTATTTGCTAAACATTTGAGTCCATACACTAATAAGCAGTGTACATAAAGTACACATAAATTTCAAGTTCGCTTCTCTACTTTATAAGAAGTCAAATAAATATGCAGAAAATATGAACCGAAAAAATACTTTAAAAATACACAATGTCCATTATAGCATTAGGGTTAGGGCTAGCTTAGGGTTAGGGTTAGAATAAGAGTTAGGGTTAGGGTTAGGGTTAGGGTTAGGCTTAGAGTTAGGGTTAGGATTAGGGTTAGGCTACCAGGGTTAGGGTTTGGATATGAATTAGGGTTAGGCTGCTAGGGTTAGAGTTAGGGATAGGGTTAAGGCTAGGGTTAGGGTTAGGCTATCAGTGTTAGGGTTAGGCTGCTAGGGTTAGAGTTAGGGTTAGGCTTGCAAGGGCTATCAGGGTTAGGGTTAGGCTGCTGGGGTTAGAGTTAACATTAGGGTTAATGAAAAAGATGAAAATAACAAATAGTGAGCTCAAGTATCTATAAGCAATACAAATCCATAAAGAGGGCATCTCGAAATTCCATAAGTGGGATCAAGAGTCGAGAAGCAAACGTCCCCTGTTGACCTGTTACACCTGCCATGGTCCCTACGTAGTATTCAGGTAAACGGAACATTCCGTAGTCAAATTCAGTATAAAAACAAAGGCCTATCAATTGGTGTGAAACAAGTCAGCTAAAATACGACCAAATGGATGGTAATATTTACTAAGAAGGTCATTATAACGAAATAGTAAGAAATACGTTTAAAATAACGAAGGTCGTAAAACCATGGAAATGTTGACGTCATAAATGCTAATTATTATTACTTGATAAAACTTCGTAGATATATCTGAATATCGAACTGAAGCTTAAGGCCACGGCAATTTTTAAATCTCCGAATGTAGTATTTGAATAAATTCTGCTTCAAAGAAATGGATAAATAATACACAATTAGAGTCTATCAAAATTCATACGGATTGTTGAAAAACTTGGTCTCCGAAGATTAAATTCATACTGTCATTGAGAAATATCAGCATTGTTTTAATATCAATTTTGTGGTTTTAATCGAAGTTATTTTGCAGAGGTCCAATCACAAGATGGGAAATTTCCAAGTTCTGTTTTTACTGAAGAAACAGTTGTCTATGATATGAAACACGTCTAAATTTTATCTATCATAAGGAATAGTTTTATAAATTGTAAAAGTTTTGATGTAAATGATTTTGGACCAAAAAAAATGGTGATTTTTAATTTCTAAAGTTCATAAGAGTTTTTGAGGACCCACATCTCATTTACACCTCTTCTGGAATATGCTAACGCACAGTACGTCTGAAGTTTTTTCTTTTACAGCAATTAATATATCTGAAAAGAGTAGAGATAAGAACTTGAAAGTAATTATTCATTTAATTGTTAATTGATAATCTTCGATATACTTATAAATGTATATAAATTGAGAGTTGAAGACAACAGCAAGTGTTTTCTTCTTTTCATGTAGGTTTTTTTTAATTAATTCTGTCTCATATAAGAAATCCAAAATATATAAGCTAATTAAATATAAATAAATTTCAAGAGTAAAATTTACAGTGGAAAAGTCCTTAAATTGATTAAAGAGCTATGCTATTCATTATCTTTTCAGTGAACTTTATATTGCCTTTATTGCAAATATTCATCCTGTAGTCATTCCTGATATAAATTATATCAAAGGTTTTCCAGAATTATATTTAACGTACAGTATTCTAGCTCAATTACACAATACAAATCAGGATCAAAGCAATAACGGACCTCAAAAACATAAGAGGTGGAATCAGCTGCCATAGAAGACTGTTAATATTTTTGTTTCATCAACCTGTCTGACAACAACTAACTTAGTTTTAGAAGTTGTTCGTGCGAAGAGCATGTTCTTGTATCTATTGAATCAACTGAGAATTATTAACAACGTATGAGGGAGTGAGGGTAGATTGGTGCTAAAGTAAGGGAAGTTGACGATTGAAAAGTTATTATGTTTATCAGAAAGCTCTGGTGTTAGGTTACCATCCACGTCTTTATCTGCTAAAATATCCAAATATGAAACAAATGTTACATTCTGTGGTATCTTTTATTTCAATCTCACTGGGATATATAATGTCGACATATGAATGGAAATAGCCATTGTTGATTGAAAATTTATATGCAACTTTTACGTTAATTATTTTGACCTTAATTAGATTTTACATGGCCTTATAAAAAAGTTTGAATAAATTGAGAAGATAACAAACATTAATGAAGCTCAAAAGTCTGTTGAAACAATTGGGAAAAGAGCAAAATCATTAAAGTTTGGATCAGGTGCAATGGAGGAGGAAACATCTTCTGTCGCTTTGTGATCTGGCAAACAAAACAAGAATCCGATGACAACTCAGTGAGGCCAAAATATTTGATGACAAACATTCAGTGTGGATAAAAATGGCCAAAATATTTGAATTTATGAATCGTTGTTTCATCAATTTATTTTTAAATAACTTTCCTTGCTTTCAAAATCGTTCGTACAGGGAGCATTCTTGCTTATTTAAATAACTGGGAGCCATAATCCCCATATATAGGAGATCAGTGCTTTATTGTTACATAAGTATGAAAGTTGACAGTATAGAAAAGTTTAAGTTATGTTTATGCCAAGTCTTTGTGGTGTATTTTATTTCCAATTTAAAATAATATATCGATTCATCGTAGATATAAAATGAATATTGTTAATAGATAACAAATAAAACGTCGTTGGTATAAGTAAATGTCGAGTTGAAGACCGCATCAAGTGTTTTCTCCTTTACATGTATAAGCTTTTGAATGAATTGATTCATATGATCACAAAAAAGGTCTAATGATATGTTGACCAAATACTATGTGTTAATTTTGTAGTTTCATTTCAAAACATATGTATATATCAACTTTTAGCTCTAACAAATAATTGAGTAAAATAATATTCACATTACCTGGGGTAATTGAATTAAATGTACCGGGTATTTGGAAAGCATGCAAGATCATTTTCTTATTGCCCCTTGCAATAACAAAATTCGTGCTTCTATATAAGCACCGAGAATTTGTGATTTTTGTGATGGAATCAAATATTCACCAGAAGAAGACTCTGCTTTGACTGACCGATTTTTTTTTTTTAATTTTAGGTATTTCCAGAATAATAGGACACAAAGCCAAAAGCGTCATCTGATTCATTTAAATGACTAGCATGACCATGTTTCAGGTCAGTTTATCAGTATACATGTAATAAATAAGATTTACAATGTCCTATGCGTACTTATAATGGTTTGCATATCACATTTGACGCCTTTGAACACTAACAATGAGAATTTAGTTCAAATATAGAAGTTGATAATACACAGGGATGACGGGCAGGTATACCAGGAAGAACTCGGTGCCTTATAAAAAAGTCTTCAAATATTTAAACAAAAGGTTGAACCAAGCCGGGGTTTACGCTGATGGAAGAGAAGATATGGACACCTTGCGCAAGCCTTTAAGATTTAAATGGACAATTGTTTGATTATGTTAATTGTTTAAATCACAATGCTGCATAATAAATTACGCTCGTATCTTTGAAAAATATTTGTTAATCACCATCATAAACACCTCGCTCATCTAAGAAAGGTTGCTTGTGTGTATATGACTCCTGGAGGATTCTGATCACCAGCAAGATGGAACGTTATGGAGTTTATTCCATCTTTTTATCGCTGCTGCTTGTATCCGTTGTACTTGCAGTGGACAAAACAAGGGAAGATGGCGCTCGCGGATCTGGCGTTGTAGAGGCAGTGGTAGATTTACTTAGAGAGCGATGCACAATCTCTGATGATAATTTCTTCTTGAGAAGAATGGCTTATGCTGCCAGTAGAGATGGAGAAAAAAGCGACACCTATCGACAGGGATTTCATGGTGGTATCTGGCAGGTATTCGATTTAATTTTTTTTTTAATTATCTTATTGTCCTATTTTATTTTTTGCTTTTGTTTGTCACGATGTATATGTATTTATCTGAATCGTACCAAATTTTGTAGATAGATCAACAAAAATTTCGTCTTACTCAAACTACTTACTATCTAAGGAAACATCGTATTGGAATTCAAGGAAACTTCAGCATAAATTGGCCCAGCGTCACGTGGTCAGACCTTCGGAAACCATTGTACTCAGGCATTGCAGCCGCACTGTACGTGCAGTATGTTCTCGAGAGGTACCGAACGACCATTCCTTCAACCGTAAATGCTCAAGCGCTCTTTTGGGTCAAACAATTTGGTGGACAAAGAAATGATTTTCTTGCAGTAAATAACCTCCGCCAGGGTAGGTTAAAATGCATTATTTTATTTTTACAAAAACAAAATTTCTAAAAAAAAAAAAAACTTTCGCCGAGATTTAATGTAGTAATCTTATTCTAAAGTTAAACACTCTTAAAGTAATGAAAAATATTAAGCTAAATGAATTTGGTTCAACCTGTTACAGTTTCGTGTGACACGAAGCCAGTAGACCTTGTGTTTGTGGTAGATGAATCCGGAAGCATTGGGAGCTCAAATTTTAAGAAAATGAAAAACTTTTTGGTCAATCTTGTGGATCAAGTAACCATTTCGAACACTGCATTTCATGTTGGGCTTGTCAAGTTCCATTCGTCTGCCACCACAGTGTTTGATCTGAACCGATACAGTCAAAAATCATCTGTAAAGGTTAGTCTGATTCCCTTAAGCCTTAATCTGATTGGCAGATGAAATTTGTGTGTGGTGCAACAACACTTTAAGTTGGAATATACATGTACAGTAGTACTACATACATATGGGATTAATGAGGAACTTACCCTGTGATCTTCTTTCCTTCACATAGTAGCTTTTTAAATCAGAACTATTGTCCTTTTTAAATGAAATAAATTGAAAAATTTAGAAAACGCTACCTCTTACTAGTAAAAAAAATATACGAAAAAGTAAACAGAAATGAATACCAATATAGCGATGGTGACCGATCAAAAGGGATGCTTACTCCTCCATGGCAACTGAATCCGTATCAGATGTCATGTACCCTTTTCTCCGTTTTTTCCATTTGTTAGACTATTATTTAAGCACTTCCATTTCAACTTTTTACATACAGAGAGCGATTCAGTACGTGGGCTATGCAAGTGGAGGTACACGTATCGGGAAAGGAATCAACAAGGGTCGCACTGTGTTCGACCGGTCATCAAGGTAAGTACATATTTGTAATATGGATAGATAAGAAATTTTATACTTTTTAAAAATTTTAGAACAAGTATTTAAGAAGTCCACCGCAGTAGTAAAATGGAGTTAAATTTCGTACAATAGATCGCTTTCTTTCCGATATTTTTAGGAAAGATTCTACGAAAGTAATGATCCTGCTAACTGATGGAAAATCCTCAGATAAAACTGAGACATCCAAGGAAGCCAGAAAAGCAAAGTAAGTGTCGACCTAATTTTATTTACTGTAGCAAACTATAGTTAAAAAGAAACTTTATTTTCTGTCAGTCCTAGAACCATTCAAAGTTGATGGAATCCGTTATTTCATTTAATGATAAATACAATGTTACTCTTATCTGTACATAGCAAATTACAAACCCTATTCTTTCATGCATTTTTAATGCCCTTAGAGCCCACCATACGTACTGCAATACAATACATGACGTCATCATGCCCATATTTTCACATTTTCCCCTAATTTTTCGAAGTAGATTAAGAGTAATTTGATTATAGATGCTGATTACACTAAATAATTCTATAAATTGGCCTAAAAAATGTTTTTTGTTGTGGATATGAGAGCCATGCACACTTTAGTGAAGATGCAAAAGTATGGAAAGCAAGGTTTGCTATAATAACTTTAAAGGTGATAAATCAGAAATCTAGACATTACTGCAGTATTTTAATCCCATTTGTGTGAATTTATTTTGTTATATATTCTCATTTTATTTTCATTAATAATATATTTTAAATATTGTTAAAATTAAAAGATTTCCTATTTTTTAATACCTTATTATAATTATTTTTATCCCCCCTTCAACCTTTTTTAAAGATCAACAGGGCAACATTTAATAATACATGTATTGATATGCAACCATCTTGGTGTAATGTATACTAGTATTCAGTCTGTTTGAAAACTGACCATCATGCAAGTGTGGGACAAAAATAGAGGGACAAACTTATTTTTGCCTCTGCTTGCTACATGCAAGTGCTAATGAAAATATTGTACTTCTATTTTATTCCACCAATTGTTGTTGAATGACTGCCGAGTAATCTAAATAGCACTTACTAATCAAAGACGATAAATGAATTACAAAGACTACTCAGTACTTGAACAGTATGTTTAGATGTACAGAAGACAAGGCTATAGTTACAATAACGTCTTTGTTTTTGTAATGCCCGTTATTATAAATGTCAATTAGATGAATTTGATTTCAATTCTGCGTCTCTAAATCAAACTGATATATTATATAAACAACTGACACTTTATGAGAGTGCATTCGTACTTATTTAAGGTCCGAGGGTGTTTCCATATTTGTGATCGGGATCGGTAATGTGGACAGAGAAGAAATAACCTCAGCAGCGTCAGAACCCACCTGTGTCCACGTTTTTATGTTGCAAGGGTTCTCCGGAATTGATAATATTTTATACGAAGTCAGAAGACGATCATGCAAAGGTAAAATATATCTACGTCATTTACAAACAGCTTTCTGAAAAAATGCAAGTCAAACATATTAATTGTTAAATGATATTCATTAAATGATTCATATCTAGAGGAATCATTCAATACTTTAATATTATTGAATTATACTGAATAAAGTAAAACTGTGTCCACTTCTCTGAAAAAGGTTTCAAATATAATGCAAGTACTTTCTAGAATGGTGAAAGAGGATTTCAAAGAATGTTCGGTAATGTTTTTGGAGCAACTAATCACTTATATAGAATGAGTTCGTGTATAGCATTTTGAATACCCTCTTAACAGCACCAAAGAAAGTGGAAGTCGTCGGTAAAAATGAAACCAAGGTAGAGGGGGATCTAAACCCAGACCGAGTGGTGGAAGACACCGTGGAGATCGACACAAAGGCTCAAGTCACAGGAATCACTGTACATCTCTCTCCCTCTCTCTCTTTCTCTCTCAAAAATAAAAATGATTCATTGATTCTGATAAAATTATTATTTTTCCTGACTTTTTTTAATGTCACAAAATGGACACCTTAAGAATAATTCAAATCTGTTAACAAATATATCAGAATTCAGAATGTGTGGGAGTTTAAATAACTATAAAAACAGAAATATTCAACAGTTTACATTTCCCTGTTTTATTAGAAATCTACCACAGTCTAATAGTCATTGTAATGTAATTAAATGTGAGTATAGGTTGAACTGTGTGTTCGAACTGTTTTCTAGACAAATGTGACCTGTGGAGAGGTTGAACTTTTTGCCTCAGCTCAAACATCATCTCCAAACGAGGCTTACTATGACGTGAAAGGATTAGCGCGTGACAATCAACCAGCCTCGTTTTCAATTAAAAACCGTGGTCGGACGGTATTTGTCCATTACAAAGGAAAGGTCATTACTACGATGGAGTATTGCAAAACAGTGAACAAGTCGTTCAGTATCACATTCAACCAAGCAATAGGTAGAAACATGATAAAGATTTGCTCATTTATTTAATAGAAGTAGTAATACATCCATCATTATAATTTCAGTAATGCAATATAAAGCCTGTATAAATTTCACTCTAAGTTTGTAAATTTACTCTTCCTTTTAACGAGTTAAAGCATCACGTGGTTTGTAAATTATATATAAATGTACTGATAGCAAATCTTTGTAGAATTTTACACTTATTTCCTTTATAGTAAAACTCAATTTGAATAATTATATAAATTTCAGATGAATGTGAAGGTAGTCCATGTAATAATGGTGCCACATGTGTAGACCTCCCAAAAGGCTTTACTTGTCAGTGTGCGGCTGGCTACACGGGGGGAACCTGCCAGGAGAACATTGACGAATGCTTAAATAATCCTTGTGTAAACGGTGGACAATGTATAGATATTGTTAATGGTTATAAATGCGTGTGTCTGGATGGGTATACCGGGACTTCGTGTGAAAAAGTAGTGAATAAGTGCGAAAGCTCACCATGTCGAAACGGGGGAACCTGTTCCAGGAATGGCAATGACTTTAACTGTGATTGTGCCGCTGGCTTCACTGGAAAGACTTGTAGTACGGACATAAACGAATGTCAGCCATCGCCATGCAAAAATGGTGGAATCTGTACAAACCAACTAAATGCTTACAGTTGTCAGTGTTCGGGTGGTTTCACAGGCAAGAATTGTGACGTAAATGTTGACGACTGTACACCAAACCCGTGCAGAAATGGTGGATCATGCTCGGATCTCGTCAACGACTTTCGTTGTTCGTGCTCGAATGGTTATACAGGTAAAGCATGTGATGTAATAGTTAACCACTGTCAACCTACATCTTGTGAAAATGGAGGAAGCTGCATCAACTCTCCTAGTGGCTTCTCGTGTGATTGTCAGACTGGATACACCGGCTCCAACTGTGAGAATGGTAATAAGATATATACTTTGAAGTCACTCATTTTCATGGGAGTTTAATTTTCGTTGTTTTCGAGGTTTGAAGAGACACGCGACTTTACGTATGTCCACCACGAAAAGTAAAATGTCACCCATATAACTACTAAACAATTCTCAATCCACGAAATTAAATCCCCATGAACAAATATTGTTTTTCTGAAAAACCACGAAAATTTGATTCCCTAGAAAATAAGTGATTTTACAGTATTTACAATAAATTCGCGAACTTGATAGGAAAAAATGAGAGAAAAACTTTGAGATATCGGAGTATTTTATATCTCAAGGTTAAAATTTAAAAAAAAAAACCGGGAGGCTAGGGCTTTCAAATCACTTTGACATATATCCAAGGCATTTAAGATATCAGTGTTCGAGATACTGAAATAAATTTCACTTACCATGACCTACCCCTTTCAAAGAAGTAGTTCCTTTTCTTCTAAACTAAAATATCTGATATATAACCATTCGACCCTTTGCTTGACAATAAATTCACCTGTCTTCACATATTTCCTATGAATGTTTCAAAATAGTAAAAGTTTTGGTTCACCAAATGCAAAAACAATTGGTTGTTTACGGAGGTTAGATTTGACGTAGATAATAAACTTCTTTAAAGGATTGGGAAGGAGGGAAGATCTATCACTGTTCCTTGTAATGAAATATGGAATTTTGATTTGTGTGCCATACTAATACGCTCCTCCATGGCATTTAATCTCACCTCTTATGTTTTTGAGGTCCGTGTTTGCACTGCTCCTATTTTGTATTGTACAGTTGTATTGTTTTATGGACTTTTCAGCTTGAATACTGTTCGTTATCTCCAAATACTAGTATTTCATTACACAACTTGGAAATCAGATTCGCGGATTACAATCCTTCTTTCTGTAACTTCTAACTGTTACGAACAAGCATCAATCAAAGAATTTTAAATGAATATTCATACGTATTTATATTATAAAAACCTTAAATTTTACATGTATATTCAAAAGTATGACCCAACGTAATTGACTTAATTAGATGTAATTTCAAAACATTGAAATAATTGAGACAAGCGATGAAAATATACGCTTAAACTTGTTGTCTGTAGCAGCTTTTTCTATTCATATATATGTATGCTAAAAACAGTATATTTTTTACAATGCAGAGGCCGTTGTCGTTACTTGTCAAATTGGATCGAAAATAAGGGAGTGTTCCATGGAAGACTTGAAAAAGTCCAACCTTGCTGACAAAATCTGTACTGGTAATAGTACTTTCCATTTCACAAGCAATTTCTGTATATTAGTACTGCAAATACCTGACTTATGCTAGAATTATAAAGATTGTAATATAAACATCTTTTATATAGGTACAAATCAACAGAATTCTGGAGTAGTACTCAACTCAACTCCAAAACCCCAGGCACCAAGTAGCGAGTCGAACTCATCTAAGTGTATACCAAAGGGTTTCGTTTATCACATTCCATATCCTGGTGACAAGAAAAAGTTCATTCAATGTGATGCATTTGGGGGATCCACCATTATGCCTTGTGGCCCTGGAACTCAGTTTAACAAAGATCAACAAATCTGCATGGCCACAACTACTGTGACGTGCCCCAGTACAGGATTCGATAAATTAGCCCACCCAAGTAACTCTGGAAAATATTATGACTGTGTATATGGTGTACCTCATCTGAGATCATGTGCAGGAGGCCTCGTTTTCAACGAAAATATAAAGACCTGTAGCTGGCCTACTAGCAGAAGACAGCTAACAGAGGACAGTGACGTCACTGAAAGTGATAACGATGAAGATGATGTTGGAGATGATGAGGAAAATAACGATGATGATAATGAGGACGCGATGGAATCTGAGCTGAATGAAGTGGAAGAAAGAAAAACGACTGACAATGATGACAAGCAAAGTAGAGGCAATCTCGAAAAATTGAAAGAAGTTCTAAGGAATCTTCTTGATGATGAAGAATAAATTCTTGGAGTTTTTAAAGTAGGGATTCAAGGAAATGTATCATTTCTACTATTAATTTTCTGTATTGTATGCATATTTCTTTACATGAATCGGATACTGCAAAAGAAAAAAAAAATTGTTTAAAATTTTTATGCTTACTTTTGTTGTGTACACAATCCATCTTCTTGCTGAAGAAAAATGTTAAAAAATAGTTTTTGTATTATTGTAAATAAAAGAAGCTAATTTTCATCAGTTTGTTATATTAAAATGGTCTCCTGCGTCGCAAAGTTTGTTAAAGATTTTGCTCTAGACTCGCGGAGTAAGAAGTTGATCAGAAGGTTGCAGGTTCGAATCCACTGCATGACGTGAAGATTGGTGAGATCAACCGAGGTCATGTGTCACAGTAGGTGCTGGCACAATAAAGACTGCTAACTCTTCAAAGGCCATTAGTTCTGAGCACAGGATAAAATTGCAGCCCTTCATCGGCAAATGATGGTGTCTGAATTTGAGTGAAAAAGAAAGGGCGTTTAACAAGCAAATTAACAAACTTAAACATTTTAAAGACAAGGGTTTTTTGTTTCTTTGTACTTTAACATCCCTCTCGAAAATGTTTCACCCATATGGAAACGCCACCACTTGCCGGTGGAGTGCTTCAAATTTTGTCCTATTATATACTTGGCACTCAGGGCCATTGAGAAGTGGGGGTTCTTTTTTGTCGTGCCAGCACCTACTGCGACACGGGAATGGTCATCACGACCCACAGTGATATTCAAACCCGCGATGTAAGCATCAACTCCTTACTACGACTCTAGACCAGACACTGTAACCACTGCACCATGCGGGCGACTAAAGACAACGGTAATGGAAAAACAAAACTCTAGTATAAAAGAAATTGAATCGTGAACATTGCAAAACACAGACCACTAAAAAACCCAAACTGAACCAAGGATCACATTGTAGACGGTAACACCCTCAGTTTGCTCTCTGTATTGATCGGGAAAATGGAACAATCCGTACCTGAAATGTTAGAAAAACAATGACCTACATGGTGGAAAGCATGTCAGTCAAAATACATTGGTATTCCCTACCCTATCAACATGATTACCAGTTTCCTGTCTTTATTTAAAATTGATCGTATTAGAAAACACTATCAATTCAATTTTGAGACTTAAACAGCAGATACAAATGATCATTGGATACAAAGGATGTACAAAACTTATTGCAAAATCTTGACATAAATATTTTAAAAATCGAAATACAGTTTCTTTACACCCTGAATCCCTCAGTACGAGGGTCGTTCATTAAGTAATGTAATATACAGTATATCATAATTAATGCAGAAGTATTTAATTGAATTTTTTCACAGTTAAAAAGTTCTGTTAAAGAGCTCTTAAGTAATCACAGAAAACCCCTTGACTTTTCCTATTATCCTCTCAAAGACATTCAGTTTTAAATGAAGCATGGTCAGTTTGACACTGAGCTGAAAACTGTTTAAACATGATCTCTGCCAAGAGGATGTCTGGAAACTGTGCTTTTTACATAAATCGCCGAAGAATTCGTATTAAAGATATGATTTTTATATGTGGAAAAAATAATCTTTAAAATCGTACAATTTTCAGATGGATTCGATAATGCAAAAGGATCCAGGAGAAATAAAATACCGGTATATTATCTACTGGTCGATTGAAATATGTGGGGACACCAAGAAATGTCGATCCTGTATGCCACATGATGTCTAAAAATGCCAAACATTCCATTATCACAGCAGGTCATAGAATTCTGATAAAGGAAACAATATTATAATATTTCACTCAAATAGGTGCCCTATTCTTTTTCAAATGCCGAGGAGAAAACACGCGTTAAATGTACCAACGGATTATATAAAAAAAAGTAACAAAATAAATTTGATAAACTAGCTTAACATGCGTAGGCTAGCTTAATATTATAGTATATGACGAATCAAAAGTGCATTTTTTATACCCGAAAAATAAGATAAATACAAAATTGTAGAATCAAAGAAATAGTAGTCATTTTATTATGGTTAAGAGAAGCAAGGATTCTAAACATATTTTATGTTTTCCTGTATTTCAGGAGGTCAAGTAAAATATGTACATCCAAATGAAGGGCTAGCAATGGTACCTTTTATGTTCAAATTTACAAATGTTTAGGTGTTTGTACCCATAAACAGAAATCTTCAGCGCACTCATCTTTAGGGATGCCCCAAAGACACTAAAGAATATCATTTCCCACGGCATATCTGAGATTGTAGAATCTTCCTTTGATTGTTTTTATCCATTTTGGGAAAAGAAAGATCTTACAATGGATTTCTACCGAATATGAGTGATGGAAATGCTCTGCATATTTTCTTTTCTTTATCAACTTTTATTTCTCTATGCGTATTAGGCAGCTGCGTTGCCAGCCACAGAAAAAAAAACCTGGAGACCAGTGTTTAGACTTCCTTTGCAGGAAATCTGTTTAACTTTATTAGTGCTATTTGAACATGAAAGTTAGCTTTGCAAGTTCTTCATTTGGATGTATGTACATGTTTACTGGACCCCTTGAAATACATTATGTTTGAATCACATGCTTCTCTTTATCATAATAAAAGGACAATTATTTTCTTTTATTCTTTATTTTTATTATTGACCTCAGCTTTCAGCACCTATGTTTCGTCATACATCAAGTTTATCAAATCTTTTTTTTTTTGTTAAAACAATTGTATTTTATTAGACCGTTGACATATTTAACACGTGTTTTCTCTCAGAAATTTGTAGGAAAATATGGCTCCTACCTGATAGAAATATCATATTTACTTTCTCAGAGCTCTTGTCAGAATTCTATAAAATGCTATGATGATGAAATGTTTGGTATCTTAACAATGCCTTTAAGTGTAAATCTAGCATATTTAGATACCAAGTGGTAAACAATATTGATATTTTTGCATGGTGTACTTAATTTTCATCGGTTTGACTGTAATATTTTAACTCTCCTTTTATCCTTTTGAATTATTGAATCCATCTGAAAACTATACATGCTATACAGGGTTAAAGTTAATTGTTTTTCACATACAAAAATTATATCTTGAATATGAGCTTTTCGGTGATTTTGTAAGTATTTTTTTTTTTTACATACGCTCTAATTTTAATTTTCCCGTCTGTAATCGTTTTAAGCAGTTTTCAGCTCAATGCAGTGACCATGCTTACTTTAAAAGTGATCTTCTTTGTGAGGACAATAGGAAAAGACCTGGGCTTTTCTGTGATAAGAGGCTCTTTAATAGATCTTTTCAGCTGTGGAAAAAAATAGAGGGGAGCGTTGGGGGAAGTAAGAATCCCCTGTTGACTATAATCATGTAACGTTTTCGGGTTCTTTTATGGGATTCGGCTGTTCTATCGGAACAATCAAATAATAAATTATTTTTCTCAATCACAGATTTAGATTAATAGTATGTACAATTATTCCTTCGTTTCTCGGGAGCGCAAGCGCCTTCCAAGGACTGAAGCGCGTCCGCTTCTTACCTTCAGTCAAACAAGAATATCAGGTACTTTATCTAAATAATATATAATCAATCAAAGTCTCGAAAGTCTATTTCAGACACATAAGACTTGATTCAAGGTATTCCTTGCAGTACCTACCACGTTTGACTTCTCTGTATACAACCGTCTTTCCAATTCGGCTGTCAGCAACAGACTAACTAAAACAACCGATTGTCTCCTTATTTATACCTACAACAGGTCACATGACCTGCGGAGAACCTAAAGGAACCAAGAAACCGGAAGTCAGTGCAACTACCGAGAAATGAAAGGATAATATGATCTCGATTACAGTTTTGGCTTCACTACCCATGCCTCCAGGAAATGCGTCTCGCATTCCTCAATAAAGAAAAACTAAAGGCGTACAATTTTACATATGTTCATTATTATTTACACCATGCAATAGTCTTCCTGACTATGTGCATATCCCATAAAGATTTGAAAATACTAAGCTTTCTGCTTAAATTTACAATGTTTTTTTTTTTTTTTTTTTTTTTTTGCCATAGCTCCAGTTTTAACTACTAAAACCAGAGTTCTTCCTCATGGTCTACACTAATCTATAGTTGTACTAAGAGCTTATAATTTGTATTCAACAATGAAGTCGTCATGCCACGCAGGTGCATTTCTAATGCGCCTTGGCCTATCTGAAGCACAACCGCTAGGGTTTTCAGCAATATCATACTGATCTTCATTTTCTTCTACAAGACACTCTTGAGTATCATCTGCATTGTTTTGACTCGAGAAATTACTGATATCATTCTCTCTTCGAAGTATCTGTGACTTACACTTCCGCAAGCGATCACAGTGAATGATAGTGCTTTTGCCTTTTGTTCCACATGCAACCTTATATAAAACATCTGACAATTTGTCTTCAATTAAGAAAGGCCCTCTCCAAAACGATGTTAACTTCGGAGAACAACCGCTCTTTCTGGTAGGGAAAAATACATAAACTCTTTCTCCGGGACTAAAGGATGACCATGCTAATTTGGTATCATGGTACCTTTTCTGGCGCTGCATTTCACCTTGCATGTTTTCTCTGACCAACTTATGAGCTGACTCTAATCGTTCACGCAACACCCAAACCCATTGACTTGTTGGAATATCCTTAATATCTGGAGGCATTTCATACATCAACTCTAATGGGGTGGTCGCTTCTCGTCCCAACATTAGCATGTTTGGCGAGAAATTAGTGGTGTCATGTTCTGTAGAACGATATGCCATAAGTATATACGGAAGATGCAAATCCCAGTCACGTTGATTTTCCTGAACGTAAGTGCTTAACATAGAGAGCAATGTGCGGTTAAAGCGCTCCACCATCCCGTCTGACTTCGGGTGATAGGGTGTTGTACGGGTCTTTTTAATCCCAAGTAACCGACACATCTCTTGAAAGAGCTTGCTCTCATATTGTCGACCTTGGTCCGAATGAATGGTAAAGGGGATACCAAATCTGACAAATACCTGTTCCACCATAGTGCGTCCAATCGTCTCAGCTTCCATATTTGGCAGAGCGAATGCCTCTGTCCACTTGGTGAAATAGTCTGACACAACCAAAATGTGGCGATTTCCTCTATCAGTCTCAGGTAGCTCACACAGTATATCTGTGGCAATTCTTTCCATT